AAAAAAAAAAAAAAAAAACACTTAATTAAAAAAAAAAAAAAAGCATCCTCATTCAAATCATCTCATGTACAAGCTCAAGCAGGTGCGCAGCCTGCCTGCGGTGACTTCCTTGATATTGGCGAGAAGGGAGGGCTTTTGCATCGGTTCGGTGTATTCGGAGACATCTTGCCCTGCAGAGCGCTCTGCCCAGAAGCTCTGAGCATGCTACATCACAATGCAGCAATGCCTGCCCATCACTGCGAATGTTTCGCACATGGGCCTTAGCGACAGGGGTAGAACAGCGTTCTGTCTTTTTCGAACCACTTCGGGCATTGACACAAGCTTTAGCTCTTTTTAGCGTCTTGAGAACCAGCATCCAGTAGACCAGTTGTGCTAGGTGCATAAGAGATGCTTGGTGATTGCCGGACACCTATGCTGCACGCAAATTCATCATTCCAAGACAAAAAGAGGGTAATGACTTCAGACTCAGCGAGACAAACAGTTTCGTTCCTCGGTCAAGTGCCTGGATTCTGAGCGGCGCTTGTAATTTCATGGCGAAGTGGTGAGGAAGTAGCTGTAAGTACATTGCGAGGTTTGAGGTTTGCGGTTGGCCGGAAGAGGGCGGCAAGGTCACACGGTCAAATGAGTCAAATGTTCACATGTGGCTCGGAGTCATTGATCACCTCGCCCAAAATGGCCTGTTGGACAGCAGGCAATTCATTGTGGGCCTTCATGAGCCAAGTTGACTTATGTGAGGATTCATTCAGGTTGCATGACCTGCACGGGCAAAATTGAAATTTGGGCAACGGGCACCTTTTCTCAAAATTGAAGGTGATCTTGCTCAGACTTTTTGAACGATGGCAATCCGACGTTCATTCTCGAAACTTTGAAGCAGCTTGTTGCAAGCGCACTCAATGAAAAGCAGATATCTTTCCCAGCCCACCATGAGCCACCTAGATGCACCTACGCAACATCATTCAGTTCGCGCGCAACTCTTGCAAACACGATGTCACACATGTTCCCACAGCATTCAAACACAGACTTTGAGCATCTTTGGGCCCAGTGCTTGGAGGAGCTCATTCCTGTGGCATAGTTTTTGCCTTAGCAAAGTAGCCGACTTCCATCCAGCAGCCTTCATGCATGTCGCCATGCTTTGCATCTTTGATCGGGTGTCTGGCACCAGTTCTTCGTGTGTCTTTAAACACCTCTGAAGCTTCTCAGTGACTCCCTGGCAAGGTCAGCAATGCGAAGCTTGCCAGCCCACAGTGCGCACGGCCTCTGGCAGCTCTGCCAGGTAGTCCAGCATGGAAAACTCGAGCGGCTCCTGACAAACAACTTCCTCACCCAGCTTCGCGCATCATCGTGCAGCATGCACTTCTCAACCTTTGCCAGGCCTCCGCTTCTGCCTCAGCGGCAGACCTGTCTCCCCACTCTGAAGCTGTTCCAAGCCAGCTAAGTGATTGCTAGTTCGGCGTGAGTCTAAATGCTGAATTACCACAACACTTTGCTTCACTGCTCCACTGCTTTCCTGCAAGCTCAACGGGCCTAGCAGATCCCAAATCATCTTGGGCCAAGCCTTGACAGTCATCAAGCAAGCCTTGATACCTTTATACTTCGAGGATACTCCCGAGGCGACCAAGCTCATAAGCAGAAAAAATGTCTGAGACGTAGGCAGTCATCATCCTCATCGCTGTCCCACATGCAAAAGCACTTTGCTTCAGCAGCCTGTGTAGCGAGGGCATCGCAGTCCGCAAATACCGCAACATTCCGGGACGGACCTCTGCAGTCGTGGAATTCGCAGGTGCCCGCGCTAGGCTGGCTTCTGCATCCAATGACGCTGCAGTGATGTCCTGCTACGAGTACAGCGAATACATGCAAGTCGCCCATTCATAGAAACCAAGAGTTGCAACATGCCCTCTAAGTTCAAAGTGTCCTGCATGTCTGGCAAGATCTCCTGGATGCTTCCGCCCTCCAGCTCGGTGTAAGCTGAAGGAGTTGGATTTGCCGCCGGTGACGGCTCGGTCTGGGAGGGAAGAGGGCCTTCCGCCATGTTTGCTTCCTGAGAGATTACACTTTCTCCCAAGCTCCCAGACTTTGCTTCTTCCTGAATTGTTGCCAGGGCATTCTCTGGCTTTGCCTGCTGCTGCACAACCACTTCCTGCCGAGCATGTATTAGCTCCTGTCTCTCACATTCAGGCGACACAAAGGTCCTGCAGCGGATGCCTTACTTCTCTTCCAGGAGATTTCTGTGATGGGCAGGATTTCTCAAGCTTCCAACCTCGTCAACCGGTGAAATGAGATATCTGCCGTAGACAGTAGGCAAAGGTTTTGCTAAGGATGAAGCAGGTTTCCAGGTTAATGCGCCCAGGCGCGCGAGAAGGGGAAGGCCTCACAGAGGCAAACTAAGCTCGGTGAAGACATGAAAACTCATGAAACTCATGACAAGATTCAGATGCAGTTCGGCAAGGCTTCGGCCCAGGACTGTCCGCATTTTGAAACTTTTGTGCTCGCTGTTTCACCTGACATCGCACACCCACACAACTTCAAGGCTGAACTTGTTCGACCTCGCCCCTGTTCTCCAGCGGAATCAGATTTATCAGCTCATCGCGTCGACTGCGCCTCATGTTGTTTTGAAGATGGGTGGCATGCAGTTTGTTTCTAACTATATGAGAGCATTCCTGCCTCTCCTTCGTCTGGTCAAGTGGGCGCTGAACAGGCAGTGGATCCTCGCCCATGCGCAGCCGCCTCAAAGCAAAGAGGTGAACGTCCACCAGTCCGCTATCCCCACTTCTCCGCTCCCAAGACAGCTGCTGCCGGCGCAGTTTCTGAAGCAGCTCTTCATTGGCCATTCGCCTCGTGACTTGTGGCAGCTGGAAAATTCTGCTTGAACGCTCACAAAACCACAGATGTCAGGACTTCTGAGCATAGCACCCTTGGAAAAGGCTCTACTCATGAACAGCGACAAGCGTGCTGGAGCCAAGACCGCACAGCACGAAATGAGATCAGGTCCCGACACAAGACGCCAAGCGTTGACACCAGGATACCCTTCTGAGCCTACTGTTTCTGCGCTGCCAGGCGCACTCTGATTTAGTCCGAGAAGCTGGCGCGCTTCGCCAATTCGAACATGGCGAGCGACAGTTGCGAACATGACGTCCAGCTTATGAGACATCTACATACTCAGGCCATAAGCAAAGCAAGACTGCTCAGAAGCATAGCAATGTGAGAAGCTACATCCAGGTGCAAACGTCCATTGTCCGGCAGGATTCATTCCACAGAATGCCATCCCCACCAGAAATCAATGGTCTCCACGCACGAAGGACTGGCCAAAGCAGAAATCACTGTCCAAATTGCAGTGCTCTTCATGTGAATATTGTTGAACTGCTGAAAGCTTTTTTGCCGTTTCCAGGAAGACTTGAGTGAGTCCAGTCCATTCTGCGCGGAAGCCCCCGCATACAAAAAAAACAGATAGACCTTGACTCTCGGGAAACCCCACCCGAGATGCCAGCTACTTCCCACGAGTCGCAGCACATCAGATGCCTTGTGCGGCACAGCTGCACCAAGAAAAGGATCAGGTTTCATTTGGCTGCAGTCTATGTAGGGACCCACGTGTCGCAGGCTGAGTGCAGCTCTCTCTCTCTCTGGTTAGCAGATCCGCCAAGGCCACAAGAAAAAACACCTGCAAAAGAAGCGACTGCTACGGCAAGGTTCTGAGCAGCAGATGTTCGTGGAGCCTCTCAGCCAACCCTCCTCAGAGTATTGTTTGCCTTCTCCTGGGTCAGACATGGGAAGGTCCCAGCTTGTCCCACTTGCCATCACAGGCACCTCAAGCTCACCGCGGCGCGTCATCAAGTGGATGGCACGGCGAGCCTTTAGCAACAACATCATCGCATGGCCTTCAAGAATCTGTCGATTTCACATACCCTGGGATTCGGGCCACGCTTTCAGAGACACCTCCGACAGAGACCATTTGCTGCTCCAGGCTGAATTTGTTCTTGCGGCCTCAAAAGAGCGGAAAAAAAGGTGGCGCGGGAGGGTCAAAGTCAGATGCCGTGCAGGCGTGGAACAGTTCTGCCCTTTCACACGGGAAACTGATGCTTCTCAGATTCGCCGCGTGCTGCCAGAACCCGTTTGAGTTCTTGCTCTCGAATAATGATCAAGGGATGTGATAGGAGACAGGGATCTGAACACCTCTCGTCATCAATCTTTATTTGGGATGCTGTCTCCTGTCAGTCTGCCACTGAGGCACTGTCGGCGGTCCAGAGCTTATCGAAAAGTCAGAGCTGCAAGCCACCGCAGTTTGCATGTGCTGCACTGTTAGGCTCGCTTCACTCGTGAAGCAGTTGCCCGTGCAACTAAGCTGAACAGTGCTGCACGGAGTTTTCCCGTTTCACACCTGCACTTTATCCCGCAGATGTGGTTGGCAGAGCAGTTTAAAATTGCTCAACTGACTGCATGTATTGGCAAGCTAGCTGAGGCATGCACATTCACGTCCATATCAAGAGCTCATGCGAATCAATGCATCAGGAGCAACCAGCTTCAGCTTCAGGATCCTTCGTCCGAAGCCCGGTCCATGTTTGCATGGACGCCAGTTTTCGAGCAACGAAAAAATGCTCAAGCAGCTTTGCCAGCACAAGTATAGCACGCTTTCTGCACCCTGGCCAGCTTTGCATGGCCCTTTGGACATGCCTTTGCCAAGGCCAACCAAATCATTTCATCAAAACAGGTTGAGAAGACGTCTCGCGTGAATGAAGTACTCGGACTCTCATGTCAGAGCTTGGACTTTCCAGATTTGATTGGTCTCAGATGCTTTTCGCCTTCTGCAGCTGCACTGGAGGAAACTCAGCGTGCAAAATGGTGGAGATGGCAACCAGGACCTCGACATGTGTGTAGTAAGAAATGCAGCTTTGGGCACTCCCATTCCATTTGGATGTAGCAACGGATGCTTTACAGCTTGGATTCTAGAACTGAACCCCTTTTCCAAAGCAGCCGCTACCAATGTTTGATGGTGCCAAGCATCTGCTGCCGTCACGTGCCACACAGTCAGCGGGGCATCCTCCAAAACTGCCTGTGCCAGAGTCGTCAGCACCTTACAAGTACAAGGCAATCTGAGGCTCAGCACTGTGTGTAATGGACAGAAATTAACTGCAGCACTACATGCAGCCAAAGGCACGATGCCAGAGACCAGAGCAAAGCCTTTCTTTACAGAATCGGAATACCTCAACAAGTGCTTCAATGCACCACGCAACAACTCTTGCCGGAAACAGCAGAGGTCGGGACTTCGTGACAAGTCCCACCAGGATGCCCCCCACCGCCTTGAGGCCATGGGCAACGCAATGGGTCTTAATGTCGCTCAAACAGGTGCCTGCGTAAGCACGGGCAGCAGGCTCAAAAAGGACCACCCCTGCCACACAGCTCAAGAACTGTCTGTTCCGAGAAGTTTGTGAGCTGGATAAGACATGGTTGGACCGTGGGAAGTTCTAGCTCGGACCTCGTAAGGCCCCTGTCGAACCAACCGCCCACGAGTGTCCCCACTGCAGCAGACGCCTTCCATTGGGCATGTTACGGCATGTTCACTGCTGAATGCCTGAACGGTGCCACAGCACAACTCCCAAATACTTCGAAAATCCAGGCGGTGCACCCATTGAAGAGGCCAAGGTTCTGCATGCATTGCAAGCATTCGTTTACCCGCTCGTTTCTTTATCCCTTCGTGTGGAAAGCGTGCATATTTTGAGTCAAGCAAGATCCGCCGAGGCCGCAGGCCTGGGGCGCTTAGATCCAGGTTCGCAGATTAGGTGAGTAATTTAAGCCTCCCCCTACCATCCCCTGCCTGTGTCTGTCACTGCGTAGTTTCTTGTTGAGTTTTAGGGACGGGCCGAATGTCGAACCTGTCTGCTTCGTCTGCATGTATGTTCAGCTTCGCACAAACATCAGCTAATAGGGGCTGGATTTAAGATGTAAGGGCCAGATAGTTGAGGATTCAAAGTCTAGTAAACTGGGGAACAGAATCAAGATGTACAAGGATCTTGCATTCCGTGAGTGCCAAGTGCGGGAGAGGATGACGGGCACTGGAGGGGAACGAAATAGCTCTTCTTTCGGTGAAGCAGCCAGCCAGACAGCCAGAAGGCGCGAAGTGTGGGTGGGAGAGAAACGCATCCGTGCTGTCTTTGCAAAAACCAATCAAGTGCAGAAAGCCACGACTAAATGCAGTGTCCTCAATGCGTCGTTGTACGTAGTGAGGCATGTTCCGATATGGCCCTACCAATGTCACATGCAAAAATCAGAGAAGAATCACCTTAAAGAATGTAAAGAATCGGCCGGAGGTGCGCGCAGCCATTTCATATAGAAACCCGTCCGTAAAATAGGATGTCCTCGTCACAGTGACGACAGCCTTTCTGCATAAAATGAAGTGCTTGGGCTTTCTTGCTGCATCAAAGCAGCACATGAAAGCAAGGCAAACACTAAAATAGAAAATGACCAGGCAGCTGTTTGCTGCCTACCCAATCCACATCTATAAAACGACGTGGGCAGGTTGCTTTTTTTCCACGGCAACCTTCCCTGCGCAGAGATCCCAAGTTCCAATGACCCCAGCAACACGTGATCAATGAGGATCACAACGAAGCACCTGTGTACATAGATCTGACAGGATACAACGTCATGCCAGATGAAGGATTCTAATACTTTATGGGCTACTGCAAATTGATCGCAAGCATCAAATGCTAGATCCGTTCACTGTCAAATGACCGAGGCACCCCTCAATGACGCTTTATCGCAACAGCAGATTTAATCTCCCCTATAAGATGAGCGGGGCATCTCCAATGTTTAACCATTCGAGAGAAAAACCAAGCGTTGGCAGCAAAACAACACAATTGCTTCTGCATAAATATCCTTCTATGAAATTGCCAAAATCGTTTGACAGAGCGGCTGCACTAGCAATTTTATTGAGTTTGTTGAGGGCAGAAAAAGAAAATGCAAGTGTTTCTTCGGGCTGGCGTCGTGGCGCAGGCCACCAAAAAAATCCGAAAGAGATCACTGTTTACCAGAGCGGCTTCAGTCTGCATGGCTAGAATCTGGAAAGACCCGCACCTGCGAGGAGGCAAGCAGAACCCCACATGGACAGCTCCATTGAATACAGCCAGCTGTTCCTGGCCGTGGGTGTGCAAAATGGTGCCAGCAAATGGGCAGGGGTTACCCAAGAGATCTGAATTGATTCGCAAAAATATGATGAAAGTGGTCAAGACGCCGTCCAGCCGTGCCCTTCAACGTTCGCTGCGTTATGGCAGCCGTCAGCCCAGAGCTGAGCGCTGCAACGACGACTGGCAGAATTCCAAAGACGAAGGAATCAGCAGTGTCCCTGCAAGCAAGAAATCGGAGCAAGAAACGGTGGTGCTGAGGGTTCCAATCCAAGGGCAGACCCGACAAATCGAGCCTTCGAGTGTGAGCTTTGAAGCTGGCACATCCCTTCATTCCCAGCAGCAAAGCTGAGATGAAGAGCAATATCAGAGCAAAGCACTGGATTCGTGACTGCCTCTTGCCTCCAGGACAAGCAATTCTCAAGATGTGAACAGCCAACATGTCACGAGAATACTTTTGTAGATCTTCCGGCCTAACAGCAGGTAGCACATAAGCGCTGCTGACAATGTCTTTGTCTGGTTCAGCAGGTTGAAGCTGAGGGAATCAATGTGTGCTTGGCCTCGGCATGATGAGAACGCTCTGTGCATCCTACGGTCGCATGAACCCCTTTGCGGTGCCTGAGAAGCAGACCAACTTGCAGCAGCCAACCTTGCATTGCGAACAATATCGCAGGCAGCCCAGCTTTCAATACAGAATCACCTTGGATGCATCATAAGAATGTATTCATACGCCAGGTTTTGAACGTCGCGAATACAAGCCGCAATGCGTGAACGCTGCATAAAGTAGGTGCAGGCTCAATATGCCCTGAAAGGATACCAAGACCAGGCTTCATCCAAAACTACCGCGGGCGATGGGGCTTTAGCAAACTCGCTTTGCTGCCCAGAGACGTAAACTCCAGTTGCGGATCATGTCTGTAATTTGCTCTCGGCTGCTGCCAAACCTTCAGCTGTTGGAATGCTGCGCGTACATCCGCAAGACAAAGGCCGATTAGCATCCCCACACGAATCTGTCATTGCCGTTCTAAGCACTGGGTAGAAACATGCCCAACTGGTGGTCGCCTGGCCCTTTAGTTCCCACTTTGTTGTGCCTATCTTCCCTTCCCCCCCCTTCAAGAGCGGCACTGGCGAGGGCGACACTCTTGCTAGTGCTCACATGAAGTGTGGCACATGTCACGATTAGTCTGTGATTGAGCTAAAGCCATCCAAACGAATAGCTTGCGTCTCAACACTCACCACCTTCCAGGCAGTGCCCAAGCCGCCACCATGACAAATGTCTGAGGGCGAATAGGAAAGATTCGAGGGTCCAGTTTGCAAAGGGCTGTTATCAGCTAGTATCGTTCAGAAGTGTCTTGAAGGACGCCTTCAGACAGTGTTCGCCAAGGAACAGGCAGCCCACGCTCCCGAGACGGAAAACTGCGTCACCCTCTCCCCCCGGTGACGCATGTGCAATCAACATGGCATACCGAATGCTGTCCCAGCTCCCTGCACATCGTCCTGCCTGCTGCAGGACGGGCAGCTGAGGATAGCTCGCAGGGCTTTCTGCAAGAATGCTTGTGATAAAACTGCTAAAGCTGGACAGCTGGACCGGAGAGCACTGCCAACCCTGCACGAAAACAATGCAGCCTGGCAGCATCAGTATAAAGAATGACATGATTATCTTGGAGAAGTTGGAGCTCAACAGAAAGACCTGTGGAACATGCCCACGCGGCAGCAGCTGCTTCGACAGCAGCGGTTGCAAGCCAAACCTTGCATCCCATCAAAGTCAGGAATGACTCCACAAAAACTGTTCAACTCGAAAGCACACAAGAATTATAGTTGTGTCGTCTTTCTGCGAATTCTATCACCAAGAGTGAAGCATTCCTTACACAAGAAAAGAAAGCAACATCAAGAGGTGATTGTTCTGCAAAGCAGCTTTGACATCTTTTCCTCATCCATTTATTTATTTGACATATATGATGACGCGAAATTCTTACAAGACATCGAACGTTTGAGTTCGCAATCTGCCCCTAGCCACGATTCAGAACTCTCAAGCAAGGCGGACAAGCTCTCCACTCCTCAAAGGCAGTGGAGAATCTCAAAGCCTCCAACCCAGGACTCCGAAACTCTGTAAGCCATGACCTGCCTACCAAACACGAAACACTATATGAAACCCGCATTGTCCCAAGCTCCATGCACAGCCTGGCTGCTGGGCAGCCAAAAGCACCTCAGCTAACAAGCGCCAGGCTGAAATCCATACGTCAATACGATGAAGCAACTCTGGGTGCTTCTGAGAAGCCAGAAACACGAGGCTGCTGTGTCTGGAGAAGGCGTGACGCAGGGATACCATCTCTGTACTCCAACTTTGCTCCCACGCCATGTCCTGAGCTAGCAGCTGCATCGTGCACGGCTCCTCTAAAGTCCTCTAGTCACTGCTCCGCATGCTTCCGCCGGGACTCCCTCGCAGAAGCCGTTGGTGTCAACCTGATGGGTGACTACACAAGCCCCCTGGCCTGAATTGAGGGGAATGCTTGCATGGAATACCTCATGTGCGTACCAAGTGGCATTTTGCATCGTAGCAAAACCGACGCTATTCGAGGCCACCCAGCGCCATCTATTTCTGCCACCATGTCGACGTCATGCGCTGAGGCAGTAAAGCTGTAGGGCAAGCACTCGAAACGCGTCTGGCTAAACCATGTCTGGAGGCCAAGAGCTTCCCTCCCTGCGGGTAGCTTGGCTAGAAGCCATGTCTTGCAATCTGCTCAGGCCCTGTCTTGTCATAGCTTGGAACCATGCTGCAACTGCGCAAGGAGCCAGTGAGCATCAAAGCACGATAGCGTTCATCACGGGCAGGCTTGCTCAGGGGTGTCCATGACTGGGCGCACATGCACGACTGCATTTCCTCACATGCTGCAATTAAAACTATGTGATGAAATTCCTGCCTCCGTGTTGGATCATTCGTCGAACAACCTTCGACAATGTTCAAACAAGCCAGTGAACTCACACGACACTAAGAAGCAACCTCAGTAGAAATAGATCCCATCAGTATGAAAAACACGGGAAGCCTCCTCGGCTTCATGCAGCGCCTGCGGAGCATGAGAAGTGAACACTCAAAACAAAGTTGCGGCCAGCATGCAACTGCATCAGCCAGTCCTTTTGTTCATCCTCACCCAGGGCGTCGAAGCCTGGACAGGGTGTTACCTTCCTCATCCCACACAATTATACTATGCTAAAACTGAGACTTCGACCACCGCTGTTGCGGTCTTTGTTGGCTGAGTCCAAGGTGGACACCTGCTTATTATCTGCCCTTAGCCGCCTTAGCCTTGAAACGAAGGAAACGTCAACGTGCCGGGAGGGCGGTGAACATGCGAAGCGCCTCTTCGACGTGACTAATATCAGCATCCTGGAATCAAAGATGCACGCAAGCGCACAGGCCTCGCCATTTCTAGCGTCAATAAATTATACAAGGTCAAGCTCCTAGAGAACAAGTTCACACGCTCACGGTTGCTGAAGTCCTGCTTCAACTCCATCTTTGCCAGGCCTGCAGCCACAAAATTGTGCGTTTGTGCTCATCAGCCCTTTTGATGAGAAGCTTCGTGCAGGCAGGGGGCTTTCTGAGATTCGTATAATGGCTTCCATCTGCCTTCGCCCAAGTCGGGTGCAAAGTGCACTTCCCCTCAACAACTTCGAGGCATGGGCCGGACAGTGATGGGCACCGCAGCCTCTGAGGCTTCATTTCCCAAAGTCTGTTGCACTGAACCGCTCCTGTTGCCTGCTCTGACTTCATTGCTTTGCGGATGGTGATGTAATGGTTCACCAACACCTGCGCCGCATTGCGCTTTCTGCCATAAAAACAGCTCTTTTCTTGGTCCAGGAAGAAGATCTTTCCATCAAGGCCTCTTTGGCTTCGGGCTTCAATCGAGGACTGCACTTGGAGCGGCAGTAGGCGATGTACCTTTTTCGGGAAGCAAAGCGAATGCAAAGCCTTGTAAACTCTAGCTGAGGGCCATCCAATCCCCTTTCACCATCCCCGGCGCACTTTCGCAGCTCTTGCACTGAGAAGGGGGCCTTTCTCTCCTGCACGGAACAATGCTTGGTGGTGCAATTTAAAAAGAAGACACGGAAGCCATCAGTCCTCCTGCTGGCCTTCATTGTGCAAACTAATGAGGTGCTTGGCAAGAGTGTAGTCTTTTTCGGCATCTCTGACATCCTTTGGACAAGCGTTAGGAAATGCTGCAGACGACAGTGGAAACAGCGTCCTTGACCAGGAACATCATGTCAAACCGCGTCAAGATTGTGGTTTCGAAGTCCATCTGGCCCAAAAGAACCATAACACCCGTTTCTGCCAAATGAAGATTGGAGCACGCAGGCCTGGTCGGCACTACCCGCCAGGTCATCATAGGAACCGAATCGCGGGTTCGCAGCAGCCAGCACACTGACAGATACCGCAGGTATGAGGCAAATTGCAGTCACTGCTCTTCTGTGACTTGACATGGCCTGCAACGAGTGTTCAGCCTCAGCCATGCTGAGCGGCTTCGCAAGTTGGTACTGGAAGGTTGTCCCATGTTGCAGCTGGTGCAAACCACATGCACACGGCGAGCAATTTCTTGGGGCGCCTACATTGTGGTTATACCAGCTTTGGAAATGGAGATGGTTTGCTGCTCCATGGCCTTGATGCCAGTGCTGGTAGCCCCAAAACTTGCTGCCACTTGCGGCAGTGGCTCCATGCCTCGTGGATGGCCACACGATCCTTGGCATCCATTTTGTCAAACTCGTCGATACACACCTCGGCAGCACATCAGTGTATGGACAGAGTCACGATAATATGACGATGTGCATGTTGGCCCTGGGCAATGCCGCCATCGGCAAGAACCATGGCCCCACCTTCATGCTGTTGATCAGCAGCAATAGCATTCCCAGGAGAATACCATGCTTCCAACCTTCCACGGTAAAACCACTTCTGTCCTTGACGATGGCTGCCTTGCTGGTCAGACTTGGACCCGTGAGATTATTGACTTGCGTGAGATAGAATTGCCAAGCAAACCAGGCTCCTGACGGTCAAACCCGCAGCACTGCTTCCCTTTCCACTTGTGTACCTTAGCTGAGATACGTGGAATTGAGTCCGGCCGCCTGGAAGCGTGACCCCTGCAACTTAGAATCATGAACTGAGTACCAGACACTGAGATAGGAGCTGCTTGCCCAGCAAACTTGAGTATCTGCAGCACGCATGTCTTTTATGGCAGAAAGAACTTGTAGCTACATGCAAGGCAGTCCCGCCTGGCTCTTGGCAGTACCAGGATCACCCAGAAGCAAGACGTTGACGTCGCCTGCCAGCCCCGTGTGTACAGCAGCGTCCTCAGTACAACTCAAATCCGCTGTGCCTCGGAGGCGATTGCCGCTGGGCAAATACTTCCTCGAGCCTCCGAAAAGCAGGCCTGGGAGCAAGATCAGACTACCTGATGGCATAGGCCAACAGCGTGCACTTTGGCACTGAGGAATCAGCATGCGACTGCCCTCTTCACATCGTTGATGACATCCTGGCAGTGGTTGCAAAGGAAACAAACACCGCCAAAGCAGCACAGGAGATCCTTCTCAGTCGCACAAATAGCAGGAGCAATTGACCTCTGGCTGTGCTTTCGCGCACTCAATGAAGGCCAACAAAAAAAGAAACGGGATTTTCAGCAAATGCCAGGGACTGGTCTCGAAGATCTTCTCTCTGATGCCCGGGTCCTGATAGACTGCCAACCACAAATTTGCACAGCGAGCATAGCCATGATGCAAGCGCTCGAAAACGCCCCCTCCTTGGCAAGCTGGTCAAAGCGTTCCTCCTCCTCGGCGCTGATCTCAAGAGCGCCCTGCGGAATGGAATCTACTTGTACAGCCAGGCTTGTCTGGTTTGGGCCTGACCTGTGAGCGATTGCCCTGTGCACGCTGCAAGCCCAAGACCTGCAAAGCAAACTAGCTCGCCTTGGCCAACGTGTTCTCAGCGTTCAAGAATGTTCAGGATGTGTAAGGTTTTGGAAGAGAAGAGGAAGCAGAAGAGAAAGAGCGCTTTGACAAGCTACAACGGCTTAGACACAACGGGAGCCCAGCTCCAAGTGAGAAGATTGCAATTAAGAAGTTAATGAGCCTTGAGTTTGTCCTGCACTGGCTCTTGTGCACGTTGCTCATTTGCTTCTGCACAGCTGCAATTTGCCCATGCTGAACCGTCTGGAATATCATGCACAACAATCTACCGGGCCTCTTGCTGCGATTACTTGAGCCGTACTCGCCCATTGGTCTCTAAATGTCTTGGGCATCGCTGACGCGCACAAGTTGCAGGCGTTCGCTGCGGCAATACGATCGCTCTGCAAAATTCACTTGCAGTGCTCCATGCAGCAGAACGCACTACCGTTGGAGCCTGCTGGCCCCATGCCATTTGCGTCATTTGCTTCTGAGACATCAGCCGACCGTTTGGACTCGTTTGGACCATCCAATACGCCCGGGAGTGGAACATTCTCCTCCACAAAGGGTGGCGAGGTGATTCAGCTGTGTTTTCGTTGGGGATGCTCACCCGACACCCGAGACAGCTAGCTGATACTAAAGCTCTGCCACGCGGCTAGCACATGCATGGCCCCGAGGCCCAATGCCTGCTCCGAGAAATTTTGGCGAATGCCTCCGGCTTTGCACCCAGAGGCAGCTTATATGCGACGCTGCGGCTGCCCGTGCTCTTTAGGAAGGGATCGTCAGACTTGCCGCAGGCAGGGCGCAAAAAATCTCAGATGCAAGCATCCTGCGCGCTGACACCGATTCTTTGCGGATGCAGGCAGCATCAGTCCTAGAACTCATCAAGGTGTGGGGGTTTCAAGGTCAGGGGCTGTTGAGTGTCAGGTTTGGGGTTCAAGGTAATGTAGCCCCGTGATTTATAAACATCGTCCCCTTAATGGGGATTATAATAGGGATCCTGGTAGTGAGGCCCGTAAAAGGAGGGGGTTTATGTATCACGGGTCTACATTAATTGGCAGCCAATCCGACGAGGAGTTTGCAGTGTTTCGTGTTGGATCACAAAACTGCAACACTGCCTCTTGGCACCAGGGTCCGTTCTTGCCGGCAAACCATTTTGGGGGCGCTGACACCCAGCCGACTCGCAAAACTGGCTTTGCTCAAGTGCATTCTTGACGTTTATGGTTTGCAGCAACAGCCAGTGCAGATGCACGCGGGCGACTGCCGCTAAAGCCGTATGATTGGACCTGCATTTCTCCAATTAACCCTCCAGGTCCCAACATTGAATGTGGCATCAAATTTTCTTGGGTTTGCGAGCATGCTTGGGCCTCCCAGGATGCCCCAACAAGTATCATGAGCACGTACTCTGTTGCAAGCTAAACTACTAGATCCAAAACCTGTTTAGGGCCCATGCCTAAAATCAAATTAAGGAGTGCTAAGGCCTACAAGCGAGGCAAAAAATGAGAAATGGACCCCCAACATTGAGGGTTATTTGCAGGGCCTACGCACGCCACGTGAGGTTTGATGGGCTGTATGGGAGTTTTGTAAGGGCTTTTTCTGAAAGCCTATGGCAATTATGGGATCCAGTGAAGCTCATTGCATTGTTGTTGCAGATTTATAGGCTGCTACACTTCATAATTCTGCAGACTAATCATGGGGTTCTGTATTAAATCGAGCCCCGATTATTCTGATGATGCAACTGTCTGGGGAGCGTGACGGCGTAGGTTGGCGTCGCGTGCGGGTGGGATTTACTTACTTTTCAAATACTTAGTATCAGGGGTGCCAGTACAGCCGCGATGAAAGGGTCGGCCAATTCCGCAGGGCCTGGGACTCGCCTGGAACTAATCGCGGAAGCTTTTGCCTTGCCTGAATTAGTCACTTGCCAAACCTGCACTGGCAAGGTGACAAGATTGCTTCAGCGGTTCAAGCCACAAGGCCTGGACATACGAGTACTTGACAGTGTTGGTACCCTGGTTCCTGAAAATCAAGGCAACAGGCTTGCTGCTCTGGGAGTCTGAAACAAAGGCCAACCTGCCCCTGGTCAACTTGTCTCCGACCGCTTTCTCTGAAGCGTTGAAAACACCTGAAACATGCAAAGCATCAATCAGTGCCACGAGGTCAGGACCAACTGAAATGATGTCTCAGGAGGATGCCAATGCAAGTGAGGCGTGTTCCGGGAGTGCACAGATCTACATCTGACCTGGAAATGCATGGGTGGCCAGCTTTTCTCATGTCTGCCCCGCACAGCGGCGCACATCTGGGCACACAAGTCAATCGACCGAGGCATCTCTCCGACCGGTACCTAGCTGGGCCACCATATCACGTCTGCGCAGATATGCTATAGCTGCCGCGGCATGTCAAGGTGCTCACGTGCTCTGGTAGCTCCTGTAAACGTACCCTTTGGTCTGATGCATATTCGCTGAGCGAAGCATCTGCTACCTGCAACGTTTCAAAGAAGCTCGCACTCACCATAACACGCTGTGGAGGCATGCATGTGCAAACATGCCGGTTGCGCGAATGAGTTGGGTGGGCATCTTTCCAGGTTCCTTTATTAAAGCAGTGCAGCAGAACAAAAGCAAACTGAAAAGCTGTGCAGGCAACAAAATCTGAAGTGAAAATCGGCTCGACATGTTTGCAACCAACCGACATGTAGAACCACAGAAAGATTCCCAAATCCGTCAATTCCACAGAGATCGGCTACGCAGCAACTTAGCAAATGAGGCGATATGCCGCACATTTGTGGCATCAGAGTTTGCTGTTGTTGTGAGGGCCGTGCCCGGCACGCAGTGCGTTGCCCTTGCAGGCCGCCGGAACGTGAGCTGCCGTGAAGCCACCCTCCACATAGACCTGCACCAAGGCAACGCTCCAAACAGAAACTCACATGGTCTGGCTGGCCTCTTCCACGTTCTCGCAGTTGCTACACCTCAGGACCACTTTGCGAACCTGGCAGATCAAAGACTCTCGAAGAATCTCGGAAGGTCAGAGCGAGCCTTGCTTCGGGGGTTAGTAACCGACACGACGATCCCCTGAATGATCACGAGCTTCTCAACCTGCGTGCTCTCAGGAGCGGCTGAACTAACTTGTGTTGCTCTGCCAGGGCAGGAGAAGTTGATATGCAAACAGCTGTCGTTCAGCAGATAAACTCCACACAGCTTATGCGCCACGGTATGCTGGAACGTTGCATATCTGCGTGCAGACTACCAGAACTTTGTATGAAGTGGCTGTGTTCTTCCTCCTTTTCAGGCCTTCCCCCAAAACCTTCCCTTTGCATCCTTCACCGCCGAGCTGTTGTTACATTCATGGCACATGGGATGGCTAATGGTACAGGTGCATGTTGAGACGAAGCCATGCCAGGTTCAGCCTGATCATGGCGCAGCTCTCGAATCCTTAGTTGGGGAGGGGGGCAGACCACTGTCCAAGAAACCCGGAGTGAGCTGTATAACTCGGGCTCCAACATCTTTGGCCGTGTGGACAAGTCTTTGCCTCACATCCGGCTATCCAACAGGCGCACTCGCCACTTCTATCATCCCGTGGTCAACTTCTAAGTGTTCCAAGTTGCTGGCAAAATGCACACAGGTTCAAACCTACTCGGTTATTAAGGGCGGAGCTGTCGAGACTTACATCCTCTGTGATGTTCAGTTGAATAATCGGAGCCTTAGAGGATGGCTGTATTGCTTTGCATCATGTGAAGCCTTCTGATTCATTGCATGGACTGCCACAACCTGGAAATGGATAGCAGCCAAACGATTTCCCCGCCTTCTGAGACCCATCATTCTCCGTAAGGAACTGCTCTCTGTATAAGTCCTGGGTTACTTACCATTACTCCTTGAACGTTTTTTCTCAGCTACAATCGACTGTCAGGTCCTGAAGGGCTTTCTCGCAAACCTTGATGACGACGTTGGGCCCTGAGTAGCGACCACAGCCACTGCTCCGCAACCCGACAAGACATGCACAGCATTCACACCACTTCACACCACAAAGCCCCTAAGCAGCTGAGGGCCAGTCGCCTCTTCAGCTCCGTGGCGAGATTCACACCATCCTCTTTGGAAGAGAACAAGCAAGATGCAAGCTAGGGCCGTAAAGCAGTTTATCAGACTGGCTGTGCCTTTCCGCTGTCCAAGTCGGACAAGCTGACCTGCGCTGACAGCGACCAACTGCGAAAGTTGCTGGAAGCCTGAAATTCATGGCGGTGGATGTCTTTTCGCACTTTGCAGCATCAACTAGTGACCTTCCTACACCTCGGCGGAAGCTGTTACTGCAGCAAGCCCATAAGATGGGCTCCGCTGAGAAGCATCCTACCGATCTTCTGCAGGACAAGCTCATCTGAGAACGCCTATGTATGGGAAGGCAGCTGCTAGATACGTCACGGTCTTTCTCAGAAGTGCTCAGCTTCGTTTCACTGTGGGTTGCCAGAATATGTCAGCACGATTTATCTGCAGTGTTGGTTCTCATACTAGCAAATACTGTACCACTTTGGTGATACCGTGATTCGCAAAACCATACTTGGGATGAACCTGACAATGCCATTACAACATCACTAAAATGGCATAAGCTAGCTTTGCGATCCAATCTTCGAATTGGGGATTCCAAGCACTCTGGGGGCAGGCTTGAGGCCGAAAGCGTAATGTTCTGCAGCATGATCAACCCCCCACCCTCCCCCCGCACAATCATGTTCCACTGTTCCACACTGCAGATACTGCTGTAGAAGCCCAGTGATTCTTTTCTTGGTAGACTGCTACAGGAGGGATAGTGCATATATATACAGGTAAGCAAACAGCGAAGCGACGCTTCTCCCGGAAAAAGCAGATGCAAAGGTCAGATGTCAGACAGGGAGGCAAGCCAAGGCACAAGCCTTGAAAGCATTGGACGGGCCGCAGTCCACAGCTTTTAGAATATAGACAAGGCGAGCTGCCTGAAAAAAAACATGCTTTCATAAAGGTGCAGCTTTTAACAATGAAACTGCAGGTGCTATCAAGTTAGCTTAGGAAAGCAGCCCATCTGGCTTGCAACCTGGATGTCTCAGAAGGAGTTTCTAGGCAGGTGTTTGAGATGCAAGGTGCTGACAAATGTCGAGACTGCATATCATCTGCTTTGAGAACCGACCACCCACCTCTCTTCATATCATAGCGGCTGTCACTAACCATCACTCCAGCAGAGTTTGCCTTGTAAACCTCAGCTGGCAGCTTCAGTCTGGAACCCGACGTAAACGTACAGTAAAATGCAAGAACTCAGCATCAATAATCTCGGACAGGTCTGAGCAACACACCCATCTGGGGAGCCCGTCTGGTCCAGGAGCAACCGCAGTAGCCCTGAGCCTGCAATCGCCACCTATGCAATGAGAACCAAAAAGAGCCAGTCGAGTCCCTGGCCAGGCTCCCGGGAGTACATCTGGGCAAACTCCTTACACTTCGCTGGCGGGCCCTACATTTGCCAATTGTGGGAGAATCATGCTCACTGAGGGGCTGTCGCCACTGGCACGTCACGCAAAGCTGTTCAGGGCTCCAGCCACAAAACTCCAGATTGATCTAATGAGGAAGCGCTTGCCTGCTAAATGGATATCACTTAGAGTTGTGTAGCTGAAGCCCTGGACACTGCACTGGAGCTCTTGAACGGAGGACCTGATGGTCTTTCAGTGATGCGCATTGGGACTCGCTTGCAAATTCTGGGGAACAAACATGTCTTGATATGACGCAAATGAGGCAAGCACCAGCTGCAGTCAGCAATTGGCTTTGAAATTTCCTACCCAGCGTGGGGATGGCAGCAGTGTGCTTGGGAGCTGGGTTACAATTTCAGTACCAGCTCGTGACGGGGGCCATCAACTGCCAAATCTCTGCTGGCCTCTTTTTGAGATGTGTTCTCCTAGATCTTTTTCTTGAAGACGGGAATCCGTATTGATGCAGGTGCCCTTGTTGGCCTTGACTTACAAAGCAAAGAAGCACGCAAGGCCCAGACGACTCAAGAACTTGGCTTCGCACTGCAGGAGTGCGGGATTCTCGCACACGCTGTGAGCTCACGCTCGATGTAACGCTCAATCCTACTGAACAACAGGTTGGCGTCAAACTTTTTCACGAGAGCCTCTCAACGATATACATTCTTTTGACGGGTGGCCAGTTTGAATCTTCAGCCGAAGTCTGGTGACATCGAAGGATGGCGGCTGTGGGACCACCTTAGTTGCGAACTCCACACTGCTGGTGAAGCTGCGAATCAAACAAGGAATCAAATGCAACATTGCAACATTGTGAGCACTGGGATGGCAACGGTAAGCGCAGGCGTCAGTTTCACGCTGGCACGGCCTTCGATGAAGATCGGGCGAAGGCAAGGTCTTTGGAGGCCCAGCGCGTCGGAAAGAAATCTACTAAGGACCTGGCACGCTGTCTTTTTTGAGCTGCGGCGATGTGACTGCGACGTGCGGCGCGCCCTACCCACGAAGCGAGCCTGCACGAAAGGCGAAATCCTGTTTCGGTCACGCAGCCTCAACTTACAGCAAGTAAGCATCAAGCCCTCTGCCCTCTTTGCGATGGCATCCTTAGCTGCATCGAGCCATTTTGAAGTAACAGATTTGACAAGCAAATGAGAGCAGCACTCCTCAGCAGGGATTGATTGGGTTAAGGCCTGGGCAGCGAAGCTCTCAACAAGAGATGGTGACATGCAGCTATCAGGACAGGCAGAGCCAGGCTCGAATGTGTGAATGAGTTTGTCAACCTCTTCACCCACTACGTTTTTTGGGAATGTGTTTCCATGTGAAAATGTATGTTTATGCTGCCTAGCTTAGCCACTGGCGTTCACGGTCGGTGAGGCAAGTCTTGGTGGGGACGCAACGGTGATAGGCACATCCTGCACTCCAGAGCACTACTGTAGATGCTGCTGCCGGTTTTTTTAACAGCCGCTCCCTGAAAACCACGTCCACATCCATCAGCGTCTCTTTGGCGCAGACCTCTAGAGAAGTGGGTCGCTCCGCACACACACACACACAAATGAGCCCAAAACGTGCAACTTGCGAGAAAGTCAGAAGCACAGTTTAAGCATCGGGACTGATGGACAAAGCGACGGCAAGTCCAATGGCACGGGTTCCACAACCACTGAAGGGGCCCATGACCTCGCCGTGTACAGTTACAGCCTTTCAGACTACGATGTACTCGCAGACCGCTGCGCCTGACAGGATCAATCTCCTGTGGCATGGCCTTTGCAATATCGAAGGCCCAGCTAAAGCCCGCGGTGCAATGCCCACACAACTGAGTTCACTGCTGCCAGGACCACCCGAGGCTGCGCGACCCGAGTGGAAGCTTGCGCCTGCAAACTCAGTTCTGCTTCAGTACTGACATGGAAAGTAGATCGGACCTGCTGGCGCAGCGCGGCATAGGTGAGCAACAGGCTGAAACCAGCGATGCCCAGCCTGACTTCAAAAACATTACGAATCACTGCAAGTCAAAGACTTGGTTTCACTTTTCAATCCGAGGTGAAAAGGAAGACTCGCTGCCTCAACAAAGGCCCACCGCGTCCTATATGTGGTCGCAGGCCCCGTCCAACATCCGTCTTATTAGCCACTACCCGGGCAAGGCCCCCCAATGTTTCCCAACGCCAAGCTCAGCTGCCTATTCCTCCAAGACGTGCAGAATTCTAGAATCACACCTTTTGGCTGGAAACAAGCAAGGCTGGTTCTGGTATTTGCCACCCACCTAGTACTGTCAGTTCCCAAGCAAGCCGCACTCAAGCCATGGCACACATGTTCATGGAGAGAAAAATATGCAAACTCCACCGGCAGGAATTCCATGACATGCAGAGAAATCTAGGGTCCAATTGAGGCAGGCACGCATAGGAAGATGATCCGCGGACAGAAGGCATGGTCCTGCCAAAAGCATCAGAAGGGCACCCCAATTGTCAAAAGCTCGTTCTTGTAGGAACACATGGCGCCAGTATTTAATAACAATCTCAGCAGCAGATTTGCCCTTTGGGCGAAGCTACCGTCGTTTCATCTGCTTCCGTGCTTGTTCAGCCACGTTGAGGGGTGAGGGATACTGACGGTGTTGGGTGGAGCGTTGGGATTTGGCCTTGAGCTTTCGGGTTTTCGGCGGACAGATTGGGGTCAGGTTTCATGGTTTGTGGCTGAGCTTTTCGGTTGCGTCCTCATGTAGGCCTGTCCAGAGGCGGTGTTTTTTTTCTCTGGGGGAAGGGCTTTGGGTGAGGGTTTTGCAAGATGTGAAAGTTTTCGTTTGTAGGCTTAATTGTGAGGGGGCTTTACGTCAATGGTGCTGTTTAATTTCGAAGCTTTTGGGCTTCGGGTTTCTAATATGTGCCGTTCGCGCGGGTTCCAGCTTGATGGATTGAGGGGGCTGAATCGTAGGGCTTTCAAGCTGGCGGTGTTTCAGGATCAAAGATTGCAAGCTATAGGATTTGAGTTTTTCCAGTGTTTAGGTGAGATTCAGACTTGCGGGACTGCAGTTTCGGGCTGCAGGGTTGTAGGCTTTTCGGATATGGAGTCAAGCAATTTGGCTTTTGGCCTTGGCGGTCTGATTTCAGGTCTAGCCTCTAGGGTTTTAGTATGTTTCAATGTTCAGGATTCAAGCTTACATTGTTTTAGGCTTCGAGCCTTATACGGTGAAGTTTTGCGGTTGTAGTTTCAGTTTTCTAGGGCTGAAGCTTCCCAGGAATGGGGCTGCATAGGTCTGTGATGTCTTGAAGAGCAAATGGCTATGGGCCAAAAAATTCGGGACCGAGGATTTGACTATTACAGGTTTAGGCGTTTAAGCTGTTAGGGCTAAAAATCAAGCGGAAGATTTATGGCTTCGGGCTTGACAGTTTAGGATCTTAGGAGCTCGGGTCCGGGGTTTCGGGATGTTTCGCGGGGGTTGAGTTGAGGCAGAGGTTTTAATTGTGAAATGTTTGGGGCTTGCGCGGTGCCTTCTCCGAATGCAGCTGCCCGCAACTGGGCTCCATCTCCCACGTCAGAACTCAGCTTCAGAGCTCAAAACAAAAACTGTTGACGTCAAAAAAGTTTAGCGCTAGAGAGCTTTGACATTTCCACTCGCGCGCTTCAGATTTATCACGTTTCAAGATTTGAGTAGCGTTTTTTTGGTGGTTGAACATAGTAAGATTATATTCCCTATATGAAATACCAAAACCCAAAAGGAGGATATAATCTTGCTCTCTAATGGTTACCATAGTATGCCCAAATAAAGTACTACTCATTTGAGAAACTACATTAGCTATGGATCTCGTGCCATGGCCCGGGCGTCGTCGTGCAGGCTTCAAAAACATCGCGTGTTAAAATTCAAGAAACTACATTAGCTATGGATCTTGTGCGATGGCTGCTTCACCCTGTCACCATGTTCCTTGCTGCTTTCCAGCACTTCTCTGAGACTCATCTCCATCCACTTTTGTGACACTCCTATGTGAGTGCTCTCCCTCACAAACTTCAAACAGTACTTCTGGTTAACATGAAGGAACACCGATCTTGGACCTGTCGCGCAGGCTTCATGGTTCCTGGGCCTTCAAGATTCAGGGTGCCGGTTTCCGGGGCGATTCGCGGGTTTCACGGCTGTAGAGTTGGGAGCCTTCAGCCCTACCCTGATTCTTTGCGTGCAGTGTCGCGCCACCGACAGGATGGTGAGATGCTGCCACTTAGGCCGATCTCGTTCCATCTTGTCTGCTTGTTTGCTTCATGGCTGACGCCGAGAAAAATGATACTCTACAGATAATGCAGAAAATGAAACGCCACCCAGAACACATGCCGGCTCCACAGAGCTGCTGAGCCCGCTGAGCTGTGAGGCGAGGCACCCTGCATGGCTTAGGTCTGCTCCGGATGCAGAAGGCACATAGCTTTACTCGAAATGTGGCCTGCATGACCATTGCTGCAGGCGTGGCGCCGACAGAGACTTGTGGTTGCACAAAGGCCTGTGTCCAAGAGCACGTAACGCGACCCTGCGCCCTGAGAGCTTCCAAGATGAGCCTTTGGTGTGCCACTAGCTTGCATGATGATCAGGCTTGCGGCGGCCTCAATACTGTACGTACCCTAGCAAGAATTCTGAAGATTCCCACGATCACACGTGCGCCAGCTTGTGACAAGGTGCCATGAGGACCGCTGCTTCTACGACCTTTGCGCGCACGAACAGAAAATCCGCTAACTGCATGGCTCCACTGGTCGTCTCAGGAACCAGGCTCGGCAGCCTCGTCTAGCTGGAAGCCGGCCTTGGGTTGGTAGCATGTTTCCTACTGATTCCTCAATTCCACACAAAACTGGCGTCTAAGCCATGATGATCCATGGATCCCCATGACTGCATCATAAAATATCATAAATATCCAACAGGCATTACACTATTTACCAGTTAAAAACACAAAAGTTCCTCTGGCCACGTGGGGCAACATCCGATCTCTAGCATGCGATTCACCCATCTCACAGGTCTAGGTTTAGGCAACTGAGGCGCAAGAAGGGTCTAAGCAGCGATGGTGCAAGAAAAGCGACGCCCATGTGCGTTCACTTGGCCTCAACTTGTGGATCATAGCAGAGGTCCTCCAGTGGCTCTAGTGACTTGGTACTGAGGTCTTAGCTCGGTGTTTCACATCCTCCCTCCAAATGCAAAATGGGGTGAGAATTAAGCATAATGCGTTTTTCGAACATCTCACTATCCACAAAAGATCCAAAGCAAATGGTGCTGCTCAAGGCTCAGTATAAAACGCAACATTGGAAAACTGACATCGCCAAACCAGCGTCCCACCAAGTGGGCATCTACCAAGGCTGACAGACGCCCAATGAATCAAGGCACCGTGCTGTCTTATTAGACATATGTCCCAAGTACGGCTGTGGCCGTTCTCTTAGATTCTAGATCGTTACTTGGCTTCCGACTGCAGCCTGGCTGAAGCGGAGGAGCCATGCTTGGCCTCAGAACGGCTTCACAATGGAGTCCATTCCACAGCTACAACTATAGTTCCCATAGTTCCTGGCCCTCCAGATTGTCCAGCACACTTCAGCTTCCTGTCCTGTGTCCTACGCTGTCTCCAGCCCAAAGCAGCATGACAAAGCAAGCTTGCTGAATGACAGCCAGATACGGTAGCCTGCAAAGCAGAGCTTGCCGGGATGCTGCATGCGGTCGCGCTTCACAGCTTTAAGACACGCTAAAGCAATCGACCACGCGCACACTTTGGTGCAAAAGCGTTAACGTTGGCTCATGTGAATGGTTGCCAACCTCACAGCTCGGCTTTCCGGCCTGCACCTGGAAGGGTGACAAAAAACATCTTGCTGTGGCTGGATGAGTGCTGGGGAGCACCATGCAGCGCTTTCGCATGCGCCGACCAGAGGTCTAAACCTCAACTTGGCCAAAAAGCACTTCTACAGCTTTTTCACGGCAGAATCAAGTGGTGAACATTTCGGCAGATACTCCTCGCAAACAGCTCGAAGTGGAGGCGGTGCTGCCTGGCATGAATGCAGAATCATGTCCAGGCCTGTGCGACCGCTTCCCCAACAACAATAGTAAGCCACAAGGCCATGCACTTCGGCTTACATCTTCTTACTGGTGGTTAGTAGGAAAAGGGGGCAAGATAGTAAGCAATGCCAGCTGCACCCCTGCCCATTTCACTGAGATGTCATCACACTGCCTGGGGCATCGAATTGAAGAAACTGTCCTTTTGCCGCTAGGCCGCGCATTGCACGGCAACCTGACCTTTGGCTGACACCTTTCTTCCAGCACTTGGAACCTGGGCCCAGGTCTGAATACATTCAGCTTACAGATGCACGTTTCGCTAGTCTTTCTAAGTGCACAGCATTTCTCCTGAAGATCGGCATAGAATCGCATGTGTGGCTTCCTGGACGGGAGCGCAAAAATCCACCACATACATGTTGCATATGGGCAGGCTCACCTGTCAGCCCCAAGATCCGACCGGTCAGCTTCAACACCCACAAGTGCTCCAGTGTAGGAGATGCTCGGGCTCTCCAACTGCAGACAGCAAGCTGCCCTCCAAAATGCAACGAGCGCAGCAGCTGGCGACAGCTGGCACCTGAAGAGTGTGGTGCCACCAGTAAGCAGGATAATAAAGAAGCTCCTGGCAAAGCTGTGGGAGACTTCATTAAGAAAAGAAGGCTGGATGGAACTGAGCCTGTTCTAAATCCATGCAGGCTGCACCCCTGGAGAGACCGTGACCTGAAGCAGCTATGCTAAACTGCTACTGCCGTCATCTAGCCTGTATTCACATGGCCTGGCCACACCGAGCATCTGCGAACCGCGGAAACTTGTTGTAGTCAGGCTTGTACCTGGGCATACAAGCAGCGCAATGGTTCTACGCAGTATGCGCGAAGTCAGAGTAACAGGTGCAAACAACATGGCAGAGTATCGTTCTGGAGTCTGATGCACGGCCAGTGTGGCCTCCCTTTAAGGAGTTCCAAAAGATCAGCGGTCGTTTTGTTGCAAAAATTACTGTAGGCTGCGCCACAGCTGAAAGCTTCCTGAGAGAAGGCCACATCCTTCAAGCCCAAGGCATCCATTGACCAACGCATGGATTTGCACTTACCCCTTCAGCGCGGCATTTCAGTGGTTGATAGATTATCACACTGTTCTGCAAAAGGTTTTGACAGTCATAGTGTCGTTGCGGCCCAAGTTTGGGGGTCCACCAATCTCCACCCCAGCCAGTAATTCAGACCCTGAAAGCCAAGCCTTCGAATCACAGACACTGAAAGGTCCAGACCCTGCCCAAGCCGGTTCACGCAGTCCCAGCCTACAGGCTATCTGTAGACCCCCTGTAGCAACATGAAGAAGGTCCGATAAATTCACCTGGCAACATTCCCCACAAGCCACTTCTCCAATGTGCAACCGGACATGAGTTCGAAGAGTGCACACAAAACGCTGTGTCAACATGTGGGCAGTGACTGTCTGTCGCATGCCCGGCTTCATGTCTGGAAGAAAATCGAGGAAATGGCTTGCTCAGACTATGATGGGACTGAAAACTGACTCTGCGGAATAGGTCATGGCCGAAACTGCATGAGCCAGCTTAGGCCGACACGGGCTGACCAGGGTCTGGATTTGAGTGCTCAGGGTGACAGCATGCTAGGGGCTGCAAATGTCGCCCCACTGAAAATCAGCGGGGTGTCGGGCCTGAAGTGCTCTGGTACAATGACAGGGTGTTGCTTTAAAGAGATCGGGCTTTTAGTTTCTGAATTGTTCACTACGATTTGCCTCAGGGTTTTGAACTGCTCCTGCACCTTCCTCTTGGCATTGTTCGCCAGCAGTCGGGTTTTCGTTGTGGGCTTGACTGGGGGCTTTGAAGTGCGCTGTGGTCTGCGTGTCAGCAACGGAGCGCTCGTGGCATGACATTAGATTTGGGGGAAGCTACTCTGGGGTTACAGACACCGCCGTCGGTGTCGGTGTCGGTGTCGGT